CACTGTAGAAGTGGAAGATTCGTTTACCTAATTGGAATCAAATCATAGTAAATCTTAGTCCTAGAGAATATACCCCAGCTTTGCTTTGCTTTCCTTTTCTTTCTTTCTCTCTCTTTTTTTTTAGAACCAGAGAGAAAGAAATCACAGGGCCAGGACTATACCTTGGGCTTCCCGAATCACCCAGTTCAGGTCTCTGTTTGGTCGCCCTGCCCCAGAGAATGGACTCTAGGTCTTCTTGTCTTATCAGATCACAGTTGCCAGCAAGTGTCTGCGTAACCTAGTCAGCACCTTCCTTCTGAGGAGAACATGGGGGACTCTCCACAAGTAGCCATGTACGTAGGAGTTCTCCCGGACACACGTGGTTTCTGGTGTTCAGTGCAGTGACCGGAGAGTTGGAGGGTTCCAGGCCTTACAGAAAAAAGAGAGCAGAACAGTCTGGGTAACTGGAGTAACCTTCTCCGGGTTGGAGGGTTGATTTGACTTAGCAAGTTCTCATACAAACCACAGTTTTTAGCCCTAATCTAAACAGACAGAAACTGTGACTGAAAATGTGTAAATGTTAAAATGTTATTGTTCAAAAGCCCTTGAGATCCCTGTGGGTCGTCATCATCAGCATTAAAATGCAGCACGGAGGACCCCTTGCTTCAGCAGCTCACGGGTAAAAGGAAAATGAACACCCAGAGTGAATAAAGATTGAAAGTTGAAGGGGCTGGGAATTAGCATGCGGGTGCATGCTGCTCAGTCGAGCAGCTGGCCTTGATCTACGGGGAGAGTAAGGAAACAGCTGTCTCTGTGTCCTAGCCCCTTGTTTCTCTCCTACAAGGGCAGGTTGTGGGGAGTGCTGACGGCAGTGTGGGAGGAGGATTGGAAGCTGTATGGTTCTAAGGGGGCAATGCAGTGATTCCCAGTCAGAGGGAAAGCCTCAGGCCTGACAGTTCTTTTCTGTGAGTCCGAGAGTCCATGAGTGCCCAGGCACAAGGTTCGTGGTTCTGCTTTTTAAGTGTGTTTCCACTAAACACTAAGCCTATCAAGGCTTTACTTCTTCAGCGGCCAGCTCAGAAGCTACCTCTTCTGAGACTCCTGGTTCCAAGTAATCACACTTTCCTTCCTGCTCACTGTGCATCTGATTTATACTTTTCTTAAGGCATCTATTAATTTTGGCCTTGAATTCTAGTAATTTCTGTGTATGCTAGTTTCTTCCGATAGCTGGTAAGCCCATTGAGAGGTCAGTGTCTTCAAATCTTGGGTGCCCCTTGAAGGCAGACATTTTGTACCTGCTTATTGGTGGAATGGGTATTCCTAGCCACGGTTCTGGCGCCCATCTCTCACTCCAGCCTTCTCACTGTATTACCTTCTGTCCCTGCCTTCTGCTGTCAAGAGTTGTAAGATTAACAAAGGCAATGGATACTTGTACGTGTCATGGATGCTGTCTTTGGTGATCTTTCCGACAAACCTGTGAGCAGCCCACCAACTAGCAGACTAGTTGGTGGGCTCATCTGTGAGTGAAGCACTTTATAGTGGATCCTGTGTGGAGAAGAGTAATTGTTAACATCTCTTGAGAGTTGACATGTGCCAGGTGTGGTTCTAATTGCTTGACACATATAATTTAATTCTCACAACAATCCTATGAAGTCGGCACTCTCAGGATCCCAGAATTATGGACGAGAGTTCTGGGCGCAGACAAGTTAAGAATTTGCTCAAGAGCTGGCTTGTGACCAGTACATTATATTGTTACCACCTCGTCCCCGAGAGGCCTAATACTATTCTGACTTTACAAGCGACCACTGAGTAGTTCTTTTCCTACTTGTTGATTTGCCAGGATATCTAGCTTAGTCTTGGATATGGTTTTTTTATGGGGAAGAGAACACTAGGTTATTAAGATCCTGAGGATCTTCGATCTTGACAAGCTTTTCAAGTACCAAGGTGTCTTTCCTAGGGAATTGCCTGGGTAAGTCATGTAATCATAAGAATTCCTTTCCATGATTTCTTTTACTCTATAAAGTATTGGTAGATTGTGTTTTCCCTCATGGGATTATGGCCCTCAGAAATTTTTCCTCTTCACATATTTCCTCCTTCCATAAGTTTTCCATTCTTTCTGCCCACTTCCTTCCCCAGGCATCTGTCTGGTATTGAGCTCTTGGCATGTGTCTCTCTTTCTTCATTGATGGCTAGCATGAATGGGTGGCTGTTAGACAGGGCTTTCATTGTCAGCTCCCACTGCAGCAGTCAGAACATTCTCTGTGGCCTGGGTTCCGAGGTCCACCCAGGCAGCGTGAGCCAGGCTAACTCCCAGTTCTGGATTCCAGTGTTTCTCTTTTGTTGTTGGATTCCCCTCCCTCCCCAAAATATTGTGAAATAAGGAGCCAGATGCTGACAAGAAGAAATAGAAGCCCTCATTCCTGTTACCAAAGTCGTCTTTTTGTATTCAGATGCAGTCAGAGGAATGGCACCTTGGGCTGGAATCTGTAGGAAACTGCCATGTGGGTATGGTCTGAAAGGTAGCAATTTTGACTTTCCCCATCTGGCTGTCTTAGGTAGTGCCATTGGTCTGAACCACCAGTAGATGGTCATGTGTCATCCTCTCCAGCCCCACTTTGCAATGCTACGGGTCAGCTCTGTTCGGGTGCCCAGTTGTCATACGTGAAATTCAGAGTCCTAAAGTCATGGCTTGCTGGGGCTGAGTTAGGCTGGATGGAACTCTTACGTATGCATTTCTTCTTCCCTAGAGCAGTGATTCCAATTGTTCAGTGCTTGTTTAGTGCTCTAGACCTGACCTTTGGGGTATAGAGTTTGTGAGTTAGGGGTATGAAAATCCCAAAGCAGTCAAGTGTAGAGGAAGGAGATGCCAGAGTTCATACTTCTGGCCTCCTGTGGATAAGTAATCAGAGCCATAAAGCGCAGCTAATTGGCTACCCCTTGCAGCCTCAGCAGGCTTGCCAAAAGCTGAACGATTTGTCTTGAGAAAGTGGGGTGAATGGAACCGTGTCCCTGCTCAGAACTTAGGCTGATGGGCTCAATATGAGAACTGGTTGTTGGGATCCTTCCTGCAAGGCTGTCTTGGAAGAGCATTGTGGGACTTTGGCAGGGTGCCTGGGGCAGTGAAGACTGTGTTTTCGTGCATTGTGTTTATCAAAGTGTACCCCTCCTCACCCGGGGACCCTATTCAGTCATGGAATTGAGTTTCCAGGAGCCTTGAGCTGCAGGCACGCTGGTGAGGGAGAGTGGGTGTACACAGGTGGTAGCAAGAGAAGCACCCAGGCAGGGATCTGCAGCAACCCACTAGAGGGAGAAGTTTGCCATCACAGTGTGGTGGAGACTTGGATTCTCATCACCATTGTAACATAAAAGGGATTTTTAAAGACTTCGCAGTCCATCCTGCTTATTTTATTTTATTTTTTTTAAAGATTTTATTTATTTATTTGACAGAGAGATCACAAGTAGATGGAGAGGCAGGCAGAGAGAGAGAGAGAGGGAAGCAGGCTCCTTGCTGAGCAGAGAGCCCGATGTGGGACTCGATCCCAGGACCCTGAGATCATGACCTGAGCCAAGGGAAGCAGCTTAACCCACTGAGCCACCCAGGCACCCTTTCCTGCTTATTTTAGATACTCAAGCCCCATAGGGTGAGATCAGTGACAAGGCCACACAGCTGAAGAGCAGCACAGCCAGGACTAGAGCCAGGTGTTCCAAAAAGCCTAGGTTAACGTCTTCTCCCCCACCACCTTAGACAAGGTAGATTTCTCATCTGTAAAAATAATTGAACTTGATCCTTTGGGTTCTAAGACTTGGGAGCTTTCGGCAGACTAGGGAACCATTTGTTATCTGTACCGTTGATTCTACTTATAGAGATAACGACATTGAATATTAGCTTAGGAATGTGAGCTAGTCCTGGGCGCAGGGTGGTTAAGCTATCCTGCCGATGTTTGTGAAAATCTCTAATGGGTCTGAGGTCGCAAAGGGCGAGCCCCTTGGGTGTCCCGGTGTGATACTGATGTTGGATTCTGATTTAGTCAATTATTTATGCCACTCCAGGGCAGAGGTGTTTGATATCTTGGGTGAGTATACAGTAGTGGTTGGCCTCATGAGCTGGTAGTGTCAGATTTCTGGGCTGTTGTGGAGGTCTTGAGAGAACTGCAAATGTCTCCTGGCATTGACAGATTAGACCATTCTGTTTTCAGTGGATCAACTGAGGTTAAACTTAAACAAATAGGAGCAGCTGGAAGGCTTTGGAAGGAGTGAGATGTGCACATTCTCCACCCAAAAAAAAAAAAAGAAAGAAAGAAAGAAAAGAAAAAAAAAGTCTGTGCTCCCTGAGGAAGGAAGGATGAGGCGTGGAACCCTGTACAACCCCCCTGTGAGGAAGGAAGCGGTTATTTCTCTGCTGTTTTGTTTTGCACGTTTAGTTAAAGAATTCCAGAAGTTGCAGGTTGTGGATCATGACCTCCATTTTTTTCCCCTCTGTTGCTGCTTGCCAGAGGAAGGAGGGGGTGGGTGGCTCTAAATAACACTTTGGCCTTTATGGAAATGTATCAGATGTTCCAGGAGTGAGTCTCGCCTGCTCGCTGGCTCGCTTTCTCTCTCCCCACCCCCCTCTCTCTTTCTTTCTCACTTTTACTCGGTGTTTGCTCTCTGTCTCCTTACTCGTGTCCTTTCTGTAGGATATAGTTAGCGCTTCTCGCCTTATATAGCAAGCTCTGGTCGTTAACATTAACAGAAACCTAACAACAGGGAAGGCTGCCAGATAGCATTAATCAGGCCAGTGTTTGGAATTTCATAAATGCTCTGACTTTGGGTACAAATTGAACATTAAGAACAATACGAAATTGTTTTCTTCCTTCCTCTCTCTTCTCTCCCTCTGCCCTCTCTCCAGCCTGTCCAGCTTGCTTCTCTCTCTTTCTCTGTTGTTGAATTCCTCAGCCCTGCCGTCCGCTCGCTGCATTGGAACTTTGTTGATTTTTGCCACGTTTAATTTTTTATTTCTCTGTCTCTCCGTCCACTCCAAGACCACAGGCGGAGCAGCAGCAGCCGGAGCCAGGACTCTGCGGAGGGGCAGGACGGGCAGGTCCCAGAGCAGTTCTCAGGTCTCCTCCACGGCTCCTCCCCAGTGTGTGAGGTGGGGCAGGACCCTTTCCAGCTGCTCTCTGCCCCTGGCCAGAGCCATCCAGAAGGGTCCCCCACACAGGGCGCCTGTCACGAGGCCAGCATGCAGCTGGAGGAGATGGGTGTGCACGCTCCTGGAGCCTCCCCACCCAGTGTCCTGGACCAGAGTAAGAGAGCAGGTTACCCGGCTGGCCTGCCCACCACCAACAGCCAATCGCACCCCGAAACTTTGACTCTCATGGCATCTCAACACCCTGGTGGTGCTGAGGAGGAAAGAGACCGGAGTGGGGCTAGGAGCCGAGCCCCTCCCACCAGCAAACCCAAAGCTGAACTCAAACTCAGCCGCAGCTTGTCCAAGTCTGACTCTGATCTCCTGACCTGCTCACCCACGGAGGACGCTACAATGGGGAGCCGGAGCGAGTCCTTGTCCAACTGCAGCATCGGGAAGAAGAGGCTGGAGAAGTCGCCCTCCTTTGCCTCGGAGTGGGATGAGGTAAGGCCACGTGATGTCAGAGGGATCTGGGCTGGCCACAGCCCACCATGGCTCCCCTGTGCGCCGACTCCTGGGACCAGGACTTGTGGGCCAGGCTTGCCCTGGTTCCTTCTCACTGTGACCAGAGTGTTTCTGACAGCCGTGACGAGGCAAGCCCCAAGTTGCCAGGCAGGGGATCTCATTGCCCAGATGGCAGAGGAGAAGTCCCTTCATGGTTAAACTGGAGGGTGGTGGCCCCAAGCAGAGCTGTTCTGAGGGAGAGGCAGTTCTTAGAAATGACATGCTGCTTGGAAATATTTGGATCCCCTTAGCCACTATCCAGGGAGTTGTGCTTACCCTGGAGATTCTTACAAAGAGCCAGAAAACTTTGCGTCTTCAGGAGGAAGAGGGAAGGCTCAGGGTCACCTAGGAGAGGGTCAGTGGGTGGTCTTTGGGAGAAGCTGCTGAAAGGGGATCAGAGGGGGTTTTTCTGTTCTCCGCTCCTCCGTGGCTGTTCCTGCTGCATTCCCCTGGAAGACCAAACGCCTCTCCCAGCAGAAGCATTCTGCCTGGCCCACATTCCCGGGCTGGTGAGGCAGAGGGCTAGGTGGTTGGAAAAAGAGAGAGATTAAAGAAGAGAGAACATTGGGAGTCTGAGGCCCAGGTTAACTTGCATAACCATTGTTCTAGAATAGTTAGAAATATGTACCCGAATATTTTTCAGTGACCTGTGACATGTCTTGCTGGGCACAAGAATGTGTTTCTCAAAGATTGGTAAACACCCAGAGAATGTTAAAGTGCTACCCTTGCAGACTTCTTGTGGAGAGAGAGCTGCCTTTGAAGGGAACTGGGTCTGTCTCCCAGGAACATTTTCAAGAGATGAATTTAGCTCACGAAGAGGAGGGGAACAGTGCAGCTGACATGCCCGTTTGAGTGATCTGTAGACTAAATGCCATACCCAAGTCTACTCAGGTTGCAGCTGCAAAGTTATAGAAACCAAAGTGAATCCCATTCCAGGCGTGGGAACGGGGTGGGGGCAATTCCTACAGCGCTCTTATCTCTAGATAAGATGAGTTTAAGAATTCTTGTGTAGTCAGACAGAAGAATTCTGTGCAGTAGAAAGTTTTCACTTTTCACTGGTTTAGAAACCAAGACGGAGTGGGTGAGCCTGGATTAGACGCTAGACCACTTAAAGGAAAATCAGTTTGAGTGACAGAGCTCCTGGCCCGTGGGAGACTACCCACTAGGGTCTGTGTGTTTGTAGGAACGTGTGCTTTGCCTTTGCTTTTCAAAACACACAACATATGGGGCACTTGGTGGCTCAGTGGGTTAAGCCTCTGCCTTCGGCTCAAGCCATGATCTCAGGGTTCTGGGATCGAGCATCCGGCTCTCTGCTCAGCGGGGAGCCTGCTTCCCCCTCTCTCTGCCTGCCTCTCTGCCTACTCATGATCTTTCTCTCTGTGTCAAATAAATAAATAAAATCTTAAAAAAAAAAAACCCACAACACAGAGTTTTACTCATTTACAGTCAAGGATAGGATGAGGCAGTTCACAAGTAAGAGAAGTGCTGTGGGCTCTGAAATGGGAAGAGGGGCAGATGGAGGAAAAACATCCGTGGGGGTGGGGAGGGTGGAGATGGAGGGTGGGAGGGGACTTCAGGAGAGATCCCAGAGACTTGGAATGAAAGAACCAAATGTTTTGGGGAAAACCAGATTTAAGCTAGGGGATGAAGAAGGGGCACTTGTGAAGAGAATAGTGTGAGGGAAGTTGTGGAACTGGAGAAGCTTAGGTCATTTGGTTTCTGTAGGTAGAGTTCGTATAGGGGAGCGTAAGGAGAAACTGTGCGCGGGGGGCGGGGGGGTGCCTGGCTGGCTCAGTCAGTGGAGTGATCTGGATCTCAGGGTTTTAAGTTTGAGCCCCACGTTGGGTATAAAGATTGCTTAAGATACAAAATCTTCAAAAGAGATAGGGTAGAGAGATTGGGATCACATAGTGGACTAAACACGAGGCTGAGAAGTGAGTGTTTGGTTTGATAGCAAGGCAGTATCTCAGAATCCTTCAAATGGACTGGCAGACAGCTTTACCGGTCTAATGAATTACCTCTTCTTTTTGGTTCCATCTCCCCAGCGTACCTTGCACCCAAGAGGTCGATAGTGCCAGGTGATTGGCCACAGGATTTCCATGCTCTGTTAACACACATCACGGCCAGCCCATCTGTCCCATGGCCTCCCCCGTTTCCTCCTGGAGGAGAAACACAAAGTCACTGAAGCATGGCCCAGCATCACTGAAGTGGGCTGTTTGGGCTAACGCACTAGTTGTCTCTTGGCCCCTTAGCTACAGGAGGTTCATATACTCCTGTTTTGTTGCAGGTAGAGCTTGCGGGTGGCTACCGTGAACCCCAGGGCTGCTTGAAGTCTGGGTGTCCTGGGCCAGTCTGTGATGTGACTGAAAGACTGGAAGCACTGTTGCACTTTAGATTCGAAAACCTAAGGGAACTGAGCCCTTATTGGAAGGAATTCAGAAGATCAAGATTTGCTTATTTGGAGATGATTCACAGGACCCTTCATGCATGATCCTTCATCATCGTTTTTGAGTCATATTATACATGGTTTTCGTGGTTACCTCTGTCGAAAGAGAAACTTCAGAAGTGTTTCCCCCAGTGGTTGGCCCTAGACCCAGGCCTTTGGCAGACTTTGCCAGAACGGGTCATTAGTTAATGGCTGCTCCCCACCCCACCCCTGACAGGTGCCTGAAGGCTGCTTGCCGTATCTTGCGCTTGATTTCTTTTCTTTGTCATCACTTGATCCCCAGGAGGTTGGGGAAAGCTGCTCTGAAGGAGCTTGGGTCCAGCTCAGCTCCTCACTGTGGGGCCCGGGCAGCTGTGATCTTGGTGCAGTTGGACATGCGGGCCAGTCTGCCAGGCCGCTCCTAGAAGGCAGTGCAGGCTAACACACAGAGCTCAGGCTCCAGAGTCAGCAGACCCAGTTCCGAGCCCCGGCTCCACTATCCACTCCTCCTTGTCATAGGAGTGGCCTTGGGAAGCCTCAGCATTGTTAGTGGTACTTGTGAAACAGGCAGTCAGGTCTGTGTTTCAGAGGCGTGGTTTTTTTGTTTGTTTTTGTTTTTGTTTTTTGTTTTTTTACTGGTTAGACATATGTTTAAGTGCCTAGCCCAGTCCCTACTATGCATAAAGTATTGAATAAATGGTAACTATTCCCATTATTATTGTGCCTGGAGCTTTGGAGAATGGGAACTGAGGCACAGAGTGTCTTCAGAACTTAAGAAAGGCAGAACTTTGGGGGGCTTGTCTGGTGCTGGCAAGGTGACAGGGAAGCCGTGGCATTCAGGCCCCTCACCTGGTGAGGTCCTGCATGACTCTGGCCCACCCCAGGGACAGAAGAGCCTACCCAGCCGGGAAGGGAGGGCAGTAGCCCCACCCCACCCCAACCCACCCCACCCCTGCTTTGCTCTTTGAGAAATTCATGAAGCTTCCTGCTAACTCTGGGAGAGGAGAGAAGTTGGAGCGAAATCTGCGGCTCTCTCTACTGTTTATTTTTCAAATGTATTCTTCTATATCACGGCCAACAGTGGCTAGTTGATGGGCTGCTTGTGAGGGCTGTTGTTCTGTAGCTGGGGGACATGCACAGCTGGCAGACTGGGAGTCACTTTTTCCAAATACAGACTGCTCCTTACAGGTGCTTCGTGCCGCCCTTGGAGATTCCCCAGAACGAGAGGACTTCGGAAAGTTGGCCTGATTAAGGAGAACCTCTGAGATGGCATCCATTATGACACTAGGATATCTCCCTAGTTTCCATTAGATTTTTAGTAGCAAAAAAAGAAAAATAGAATTTACTTTGAAAAGTGCTCCGTCTAACAGGAGATCAAAATCCGAGCTTCAGTATATGCTTTCTCTGCTCACCAGTCAAAAATCAAAGCACTCCTTGTTATCTTGGTGATGCCTAATAGAATAGGGGCATAACAGAAGGTAAACTGGACAGCTGTCCATCAGTACAACTTTAAAAATATATAGATTAGAAATGGGAAAATCACCTACATCTCTCTACAGGTTAGCCTCTGTTAACATTTGATGTGTATCCAAATTTGGGGTCTGAGTGTATTTACTGATTTATAATTTCTGTCTTACCAGTTATGGCAACATCCATAAGACCTGGATTCAGACCTGAGTTGTGGAAGGCACAGTGTGGTGTTGTGTGGCTGTGTCAGAGGGCTGGTTTATTCGTTGGTGTTGAAGCGGTCTTCCAGGTCCCTGCTGGACACCTTGCAGGGTATCTTCTGTCTGCCCTCAGGCATGTTCCCTCTCCTTCTCTACCGGCCTGTGAGCCCCAGAAGGCTCATCTGTGTGGCCTGCATTGAGAGGCCAAAGGATTCCTGGGTTGGCCGTGTCCCCTCCTGAAAGACCAGCTCTCCTGGGAGGGACCTTTCCCTAAAGCTGCTGTCTCTGGGTTCTGATAACCAGTCCCTCCCCTGGATGCTTCCAGCCTGAGGCTCCTGGCTGTGAGTCCCTCTCCTTACTTGTTGATCTCTCTGTACCCTGTCCAAATGTGTGTAAATAATCCCCTTATTAAGCTCCTTCGGTTGCCCGGTGTGCATGTGCCGTCTTTTTCCCGAGGGGACCCTGAGCCATACGGACATTTTGTAGTACTATTTCTATCCAGCGCAGGCCAGCCTAGATGGCTGTGTGCTGGAGCAATAAACACAGCTCGTGCATGTAAATTGTAAATTAATCTTCATTTGCAGATGAGCCAGAAGTGTGGATATCCAGGGTGCTAAGAAGCAGGAGAAATTGATCATCTAACTTGAAGCCTCTCCCATGTAGGAAGCCTTTTCTCTTTTCTAGAGCTGGTGGTGCATCAGTGTCTCAGCTGTGTGCCCCAGAACCACCATCTCCTAGATGCATTTCCATCCCATCTCTGCACTGTGGGGCTCACCCACAAGGGCACGCAGCAGCAATTAATGTCCGAATTAAATACCTCCTAAGAAGAACAAAAATAACCTTCTGGT